GGGCGGAGCTCCTGTGTGCACAGAGCTCCCACTGGGGAGGCCTGGCTCTGAGAGTGAACTAGGGCCTCTCCTTCGGTGACGGCTCCTGAGTCGACGTATGAAGGGGCTTCCGGAAGCATCAGGCCTGACGTCCCCAATGGCTCAGCGCATCTTCCTCCATCCCCCTACCCACGGCTTCCTCGCACTTCCTCCAGGGAAGACCAGGCTCCTCACCCCCTGCTGGCAGCTCTCCCAGCACCCCCAAGTATGGAAACCAGGGTTTACTGGAAGCCCTGCTCTAAGGGACTGTCTAGACTTGGGCGTCTCCTGGAGGATCAGACAGACCAAGTGGCCACAGGACCCCTGGAGTTTGGGCATGCTGGCTCCCTCTCCCTCCTGTTGTCTCCTTCTCTCAGTACATCACATGCATCAGTGACACCCCAGAGATCTCCACTTTGTCCCGAGCACTCTCTGCCCCTGGGAGGCCCACAGAGGAGCCTTCCTCAGCCTGGTATCTCTGCCTGCCTCTTTCCTGCACCTATGCATCCTAAAGTGGGCTGAGGGCAAAGCCATCACACCCAGGTATGCAGAGCCAGGGGGCAGACAGGAAGACAACTGAGAAGGGGCTCTGAGGAGCCTGCAGCCAGAGGACAGGCTTTAAGCTTCTGACAGTCTAGCAGGAACTCACCACTAGTCCCTGCTGGGATACCACTGGTCACCCCAAACTCAGCACGGGAAAATTCCCTTCCCATGTTCTCAATTCCCCCTAAATGAAGTCACCTGAACACCAGAACAGCACCTCCCTCCTGGGGTCCCAGACCCAGACATACCGCCCTGCTCCCTTGGTACCCGTCATATGTCCTACTTCCCATCCAGGATGGAGATCCCCAACGCAGAAACGCCCCATACACCCCCACACAGACCCCATATTGGACCCCATATTAATCCCCAGGGGCCTCCCTCCCAGAAACCACACACACAGCCCAACCCTTTGCTCAGGAATCCAGACACATGGCCCTTCTCACAATGGGGCCCCTTACTCAGTCTCTTCTGAGAATCGGGCAAACTGAGAACCAGGTTTACAGTGTTTGCAGATAATTTCTCTGTGCTCATATTCAAATAGTCCAGGAAGCAGACTCTGGTGGAGAAAGGCTTTCACATTTGTGAGTTGGAGATGAATCCCAATTTCCTGACTTAAAATCACCCCTACAGTGCCCCCCCCCCATATTAGGCTCCTTAAAGATGTTCCTATTAAGCTCACAGCTGCTCTCTAGTACCCCAAGACACTATCTGTAGGGCAGAGCCATCAGACCGTATGGCCTTGCCACCCTAGGCACACCCAGCTCCCTTCTGATAAGGATCTTACATGGTTCCCCTGGAGCAGAGCTCAGGGACAGCTAAGGTCAAGCCAGCTCAGGGATGGCAATGGTTCAGCCAATATCTGAACTCCAGAACCTGACCATCTTGTTACATAGGTGCCTTCCTGTCGTGTGTTTACCCTAGTACTTCCCCTTCCTGTTAGGTATGTGCTCACCACGGTTCGCATGCCCTCAAGGTTACATAAGCTCCCCCAACATTCTGACCTCCTATGCCACTGCAAGGACGGAACCAAGCAGCCCCAGAGGCTCCTGGACCCTCACAAGGCACAGAGGCCTGAGCAAAGCTGCCCAGAGCTCTGGACCACCAGCACCAGCAAGGGCCATGGGATGCTGGCCTGAGAGTTGGCTTGCGCACCTGAAACTCAGCCTGGGGCAGCTGAATATTGGTGGTCTTCTCAGCACCTGAGGGATGCACTCACCCAGCACAGGGCAGGGAGGGGCTGGTGTCCACACAGCATGCCACCCCCTGAGTGGAGAGGACTCAGTGCACACTTCCTTCCAGAGGACAGACTTCCCTCTGGCATTTCTGGACTCTCTCCACAGAGGAGCTGAACTGGTCCCAGTCTTGCATAGGTCCATTAGTGTGCTGCACTAACAGGACAGGGGTTCCCCTCACACCTGTCACCATCAGGCCTCCTGCACAAGAGGCCCCCTGGTCATCAGGGCAGAGGCTGCCCTTCTGCTTCCCCGCCTCCCCAGAAACCAGGACACAGGCAACGACTCTCTAACACAGGCTGCTTTATTGGAAGCGACTCCGACATCCTTTCTGGGGTCGGTCTCCCAGTCTTGGAAGCAGGGATGGGAGTCGTCCTGGGAACATGGAGGAGGGAGAACAGAGGTCTCAGCACACGCCATACTGAGTTGAGAGCACTCCTGTGGGGGGTGTTGAGTTAAAGGGTCTTTGGGGATGTGGGCCTCCCACTGCTGGGGAAGCTGTCAGGACCTTGCTGCCCATGGTTCCCCCAGAGGTCTGCCCACCACCCCACCCATGGAATCCGCCAGAGAAGGAAGGAAGAAAGGCTGTCAGGGGCTGACCTCAAAGAACCCCCAATCTACGCCCCACCCTCCTGCTAGCGCAGTTGCTGCCTATGGCCCAGCCCCCCATCAGTGCACCCTAAGGAACTTAAGGAGGGTCAAGCAGCTATTCCAAGTTCTACCTAACCCACTGCCCCACCCCCGGCACTTGGCTCCCTGGGTGTTGGGAGCTCCAGGGAACCCACAGGAAGCTGGGGGAGGGAGGAGGTTGTGGGCTTGCCTATGAGGCAGGACCCTCAGGCCAATGTGCCTGCCGTTCTGGAGACCCAGCCTAGTCT